ACCCATTCTTTTTTATTTCTTTGTAAAAAAAAAAAACTATAATTTCAATTAGCATATATCCTCTTTATTTTTTTTCACATGACTTTTCAAAATCTCAAAGAATACCAGCGACCCAACCTATTTTTTGTAACCTTTCCAGCATCATATAACCCCTTGAATGAAAATTTCTGACATGTAGCATTTTTTGAAGGACTAATAGCTACAAGTTTTGAGCAGATTCCACTCATCAAACCATCTGAATTTCCATCCTCTCCCCCAAGGACCCTTTTTCTTGAATTGGAGGACAATTCCAGAGGTGCACCCTGTTAAAATTTCCATCTTCTGAGGGGAATTCAAGAGTCTTGATCTCCTCTTGGATTCCTCCTTCAAGATAGTTTCCTATAGGTTCTTTTGTAGGTAATATTGGGGCTTCCAATTTGTCTAGGTCATTTATATCATTGCATGTAGAAGCTGAAAAATATGAGCCAAAAGATGAAGCCCTTGATGAATCTGAGGAAGGAGAAGTTGTTGTACTAACAAATCCTTGGATTTCTTTTGTTATTTTGATGAATCTGATTTTTTTCCATGTTAAGACCCCAATTTAACCTAAAAAAAAAAAAAAAAAAACAATAATATACCAAAAAATCAGCAAATTGAATAGGCAAAATGGGAACCCTCAAAAAAAAAAAGAAGAAGGAAAACAAGGTTACCCTTTCTCATCTACATGTCTAAATGTTCAAAAGGGAAATCGATTTTAAGCAATTTAGAAATCAAATATGAAAATCAATTTAAAACAAGTTATCAAAGAAGAACAATCCTCTATAAGGAAAAAAAAACCTATAAAAATGAATTTAGATTCAAAGGCTTGGATCTCATCTCAAAAATATAATTATATTAATAAATAATATATTTTTATTTAATTTTAATTATAAAATATATTAAAATATTTTTATATATTAATAAAAATTAATATTTTAATAAAAAATAAAATAAATGGACGAACAAAAATAAAAAATGTCATCAACGAAATTTTGATTTTCCGATGATGAGGAGGAGCTAATGTGATACCATTATTTACTTTCTGCAGCGTTTGCCGTGACATATACTCTTGTTTTTAAGTTTCTGCTGATTAGATTAAGATTATTAACTTTTATTTTCTAAAAAAAAAAAAAAAGTCTAATACCTTATCTAGAATTGATGAGGCTTACCCTTGGGGAACCCTGCTACTTGATTACACTACCCAACCTTTTCAATGAATCTTTCTTGTTTTTAATGCAACTTTTAGGTTGTATTCCCTTTGACATTTTTTTATTTTGGTGCTTAAAAAAGCTAATTTCGTGTACCCAAACCTCCTTAATATGAGCAAATTTCCAAGTACCAAAGCCACTTTGTTTTTTTCAAACACAAATTTTGCAATAGTTATTATATATTCCCAAGTAATCACCTATGTCTTTTACCTATTGAAATTTCCTTGTCAGGAAACTTTTGGTGGCTTGAACTTTGCAGCTTCAATAGAAAACGACAAGCAAATCATAAACTAGGCTATGTAAAAATTGAAGAATCAAAGGAATTGAGCAGGAGATTAGGGCAATTTCCTAGTGTGTGATCAGCCAATATTGATTTAGACATGTGATTTAGCTGAAAATATTAAGAAAGTTAGCCATTTTGGATAGCAGGATTGTTAACTAATTTGATCGGATTGATAAGAATTGAATACTTTGTATATAAGAGTTATATTCGATTTTCATTGTCATTAATATTCTTTCGATGAACAATATGTAAATACAATGTAAATCATCGTTAAAACTTACTAAATGCTTTGACTTGGGAAGCATCTTTTCACCTAAAACATTTTCAAACAAAAAAAAAAAAATCAGACATCAGCTAATCCACCTAATCAATTGCTTAACACTGTTACTTAAGTTTCATCTTCAATATTAATAAAGAAGTATTCAATGGCATGAGAAAACCTCAATGTAGGTAGTGAACAGAGGTTTTGATATTAAAAAAGCATAGCAATCATGCAATGGCCTGATAATGGAAGATAAAATAGTGAAAGGAACTGTTACTTTGTCTAACCTATAGATTCCCCTAGTAAAATTTCTTTGTCTTAATCTTCAAGCAATCAACCAAACCATTATATTTTAATTCTTTCAATTTAGAAACAGTATTAGGTTAAAATTGATAAACCAACAATCCATTTAATAGGAAGGAAAGAAAGAGATAAAAAAAAAATTCTAATCTAATTTTTGAGTAACATAGCAACATATGTTATTTTGTAATTTATATGTTAGATAATACTTTTATTTTTGAGCAAAGATTGGACTATTTGATAAAGATAATCTTTTAACATAGTAGACTCCTAATTTCTTTCATTTGATATTTTTATTATAACATAACTTCAATCACACATTTGCATTATATTATTTATTTATTTTATTTTATTTTTATTAACATTAATAAATTGCTTTTAAGGTTTTATTCGATAAAACAGGTATGATTTATAATTGCGAAATTAAAAATAACATACGATAATGATAAGATTAATATTCAGAGATTAAGAGTTTAAAATGAAATTAATTATTTAAAAAAGACACTAAAAATTGATGGCCCAAACTCAATATAGAATTAAATGGGGTATTTATTTGGATCTTTTATCCAATTGCTCAACATGCAAAAAAAATGGTGAAGAAAAACAAAGAGAAGTTGGTCTAATTTGGACCACTAAATTTAGGTCAATTCAGTCACCAACCATTTATCTGTTTGTGAACTAATGATAAAAGCTATACTGCATATCTTTTGACATGCCAATATGCACCCCACTGGTAAAAAGCTGCCTTGGATTTTTAGGCTAAATCAGTTTAAAATTCTCCATATCTGTTTGGCTTTGCCATTATAGAAAATTTTGCTGACAGTTTCATCATCATTTTCAAGTTGTCTACTTCTTACAAAGGTTGGGGAGGCAGATGTGAAGGGTGATTGAACAATATTCCTCTGCTAGCCTGCCCTGCTACTGTTGCATTTGCATTCTAATGTTTGATATTTTCTTATCTGTTCAAGTTAATTTAAAATACGGTATGATATAAAAATATATGAATAAATAATATAAAAATAATATAATCTAAAATTTTAAATAAATTAAATAAAATCAAAAAATTATTTTTTATATTTTTATGTCGACATGAACTATAACACATGATCTTTATATAAAATATAATACGAATATAATATTTTATTCGATATGATAACACGAATTGTTATATTTATCTTTTCTCGGACCAAACCTCTCCAACTCCTTTGATGGAAATTGCTTATAACAAATAAATAGTGATGATTTATCATGGCAAACCCTTATTAATTGTCACACTTTTTACAAATAAAGAAGAAATCTCAAATTCAAAATCAAGAAATAAATATGAAAAATATATATTTGGATTATTAATTTTTCATTTATTGTCGATATAATTTTTAAATTTTATAACCATAATTTTTTTGAATAATTTACAAACATAATTAAATAATTATCGAGTACTATTTTTTATTATATTAAATTTTTAATTGTATTGATAAAAATTCAAAAGATAAATACCCCTATGATACATTTTGTTTTGATTTTGAATGCTCCAAATTTGCTAAGTTAATATTTCATTAGCAATTTTAATGGTAACTTTCTTTGCTTTGAAATTAAAAAAAAAAAATGACATAGACAAAATACAACTCAAAATATTGAAGCAACACCTGAAATTTATTTGTGAAGAAATCAAAAGTGCTACCTTTTGTCTTAAAGATTTTTCCCGAGCATTTTTTTTTTGATAAAAAAAATTTGAAATAAATAAATTTTTCAATTTTTCAAATCAAATAATTACTGATAATATATTTAAGATAATTTTAATAAATAATTACTAATAAAACTTAAACTTAAGACTTATTCATTAAAAAAGTCAAGCTTTAACCATTTAAATTAACCACTTTAAACTTTATTTTAATGCCTAAAAAATTATCTTCAAACCATGATAAGACAAACCCAATAACGTTAATTTTTTATTCTTTTAATATAATTTTATATATATATATATTTTTTTTTTTCATATCTTCTGTGTTGATATTGTCCACTGGCACCACAAATAAGACTATGAAATACTAAAAGACGGCTCTTTTATTTTTTTTTAATTAAATGTGATAATTTAAAATATGATATAATAATATAATATGAATATAATAAAAATAAATATATATAATTTAAAATTTAAATAATAATTATATATGAGTTTAATAAAATAAAAAATTATATTTTATATTTTTATATGATACAAATTATAATATATAATTTTTATATAAAATAAAATATGAATATAAAAATTTTAACATTTTATATGACCCGAATACATGCAACAACAAAATTACTCTCTGCTCAATCATCACAAACTTTATGAATTACAAATGAAGTAATCAATCATAAATATTTTATTATTTAATATCAAGATAAAAAAATAATGAATAAAAAAGAAATATTTATATATAAAATTAATAAAATTATTTTTATGATCTTAAATTACATATGTTGTAAGTAGATATGATAATTTTATATATAATATTATGTGAAACAATATAAAAAAAAAAATAATGATATTTAAAATTTTAATTAAAATTATATATAAAATTTGATACAAATAAAATATATTTTATATTTGATATATTGATATAAATTGTTATATAATAAATTTTATATTTAATATATATTTAACATTAAACATATATGATAAGAATATAAAAATGATCAAATTTAGTTAAAAAAATAATTATTTTGGATATTATTTGACGAAATATACACATTTTATTTGTATTTACATATGATGATTACGTGTAATCTTGAATTAATACAGTTAAACATTAAAAATATAAAAATAATTTTCATTTTTATTAATTTTATATATAATTTTTATTTATTATTCATATTTAATCGTAGTGTCAAATAATAAAAATATCTGTTACATCACCTTTTTCCTTCTCTCTAAATCAAACTAAAAAAGAGTAATTTTTGTCTTGGAAGAAAAAAAAAATCACCTAATATAATCGTCCGACTTTCTCTTGTTCGATTATCCGTTCTTCTTTCTATCTTTCCTTCTCTCATCAAAAAAACAAAAAAGACTCTTTTTTTCCTCAAGAATTTTCCTGAGAAAATTAAATCCTTGTCCATAACCCCGATCCATAGATCATCACCCAAATTCTTGCCAATAAATTCGTTCCATTTAGATTCTTTTTCCCATATTCTCTTTTTATTGGGCAATCAAAATCTACCCTTTTTTTCTTTAATACTATTAAGTGTTATCTCTAAAAAAAGCACAACTATTTTTCTCAATAAAAAAAAAAACTCAACTTTTCTCTTTTCTTTTTTTTTTCCCACCTAGAAATATAGCTTGATGATCCCAAAACGCTTGTTTTGGTTCACTAATTAATGGTTATTCCGTAGTTTTCAGTCAAGTTTTCTCTCTTTGTATATCCCTCTAGTCACTAAAAGGGTTAACAATTTTTGTTTTGAATTTCTGGAGGGTTTTATAAGGATTTTAGAATCTGGGTTTTGATTTTTGGAGTTGATAGATAAGAATTTTGATGGATCTGAGTGTCAGTTTAAAGAGGAATGTTTTGAGTCAATTTCTGTGTTGAAAGTCAATTTTTTCTATATTGGTAAAGTGAAATAAGAGGGGAGTTTTTTTTTTATTATTATTGTGGTAAATTTAAGTAAGATTGGATCATGGAGCATATTATTGGTGGAAAATTCAAGCTTGGTGGAAAGATCGGGAGTGGATCGTTTGGTGAACTTTATTTAGGTATTATGATTATGAGTTTTTTATATTTATTTCTTTTATTTTCTTTCTAGCTGTTTTGTTGATTTGGTGTTTTTATTTTACAGGCGTTAACGTACAAAGTGGAGAGGAAGTGGCTGTTAAGCTGGTAATATTTGGCGTTTTACTGTTTTTCCCCCAACTTTTTTTGGTGGGATTTTGTTGTTTTTCCTGTTTTAAGAGTGTATTGGTTGATCACTAGATATGTAAAAATAAATATGGTCGATTTAGCCGAGGATTTTTGCACTTGTGTTTGATGTTATTCTGTGATGCTTTTTTTTTCCTTTTTTTGTGTTTTATTTGGATGTCTAGTACTGACAAATCATGCGCCTGCTTTTTTTTTTTTTTTTTGGGGGGGGGGGGTGGGCTGTAAGCCAGTTCATTACTTGATGTATTTGAGTATGCTACTATGGAGATGCTAGATTTAACGTTTGTAGTGCTATCTCCTATAAGGAGATCTGGTGGCACCTAGGATTGTTTAAACCCAACCTGTTCTTTTATGGCATTGAAATGGAAGAATATCAACTATTGAATTTTCTGCTTTAAGTAGTTCACTGAGTTGGAGTTGGAGGTTAGATGTCCACGCTTAGTTCAACGTTGCTTTGAAGATAACGATATGCAGAGCTATAAAGACATTGCTGGAGAGTCTTTTTATATGTTTACATTTGTAATGAAAAAAAGGAGTTAGGGTTTGATTTACTTTGAGCATTGTTAGGGTTTGACTGTGTGACGTTTTCTGCTAATATAGAGATGGGTCCTTCTATTATTTGAGCTGATATTTTTGGATGATCTGTTTTAAGTGCTTAAAAAGTTTCTTTAGAAGTTGAGTTGTTATATTGTAGTCACACTTGTATTGTTTCTGTTGCCATTCACTATTTTGATTGAGTTTCATAATATTGGTGTTGTTTAAAGTTTTGAATCTGTTATCAATATGTATTACTCTTGTTTGCCCAGGAATCTGTTAAGACCAAGCACCCTCAACTTCACTATGAGTCAAAGCTGTACATGCTTCTTCAAGGAGGGTGTAAGTTTCATTCTCTCTCTCTCTCTCTCTCTCTCTCTCTATATATATATATATATATATATATTGTGTGTGTATTTATCTATTTATTATGGTAAGTTGCAGCGGGTATTCCTCATCTAAAATGGTTTGGAGTCGAGGGTGAATACAATGTTATGGTCATTGATCTTCTTGGACCAAGCCTAGAAGACTTATTCAACTATTGCAATCGGAAATTTTCTTTAAAAACAGTTTTGATGCTTGCAGATCAGATAGTAAGTATGCTATCTTTTTTAGGGAACTATACTCTGGTCAGTTGGCTGCCTTACTAATACTTTTTCTTTCCTTGTTGGTTCAGATAAATAGAGTTGAGTATATGCACACTCGTGGTTTTCTTCACCGTGATATAAAGCCCGATAACTTTTTGATGGGTTTAGGGCGCAAAGCAAATCAGGCATGTTCTTTTGTTTATTGCCTGCCTTTATCTGCACATGTTTTATTATGGATTTGTAAATAGCCAAGAAGGCATAAGATTACATTGATAAGATTTTCGTTTAATTTTATATTCCGTTTGAAATATAAATTTCCCTAGCAATAATTGTATTTTACCATAACTGAGATTCAGTTTGACATAATAGTAATGTTTGGGTCACTTGTACAACAGGATGTCCTAGTATGTGTTGCTTAATTCCTTGTTTCCCCGTTCACTGCAGGTATATGTAATTGATTATGGCCTTGCAAAAAAGTATAGGGATCTTCAAACACACAAGCACATACCATACAGGTAATAACTTTTGACGTTTTTATTTGTAGAATTTGATATTTCCTCTTGCAGGTTGTTTATCTATTGGCCCTGACTTAAATAACTCTAAGCTTGACTTAATTCTTCTGGTAATAGATTTGACGATCATTTCTCTAGAAAGGCTATTTGGTCTGTAGGAGCAATAGATGGTTAAACTTTTCATTTACTATGTTTTTCGCTAAGCAGCTTATCTAAAGCATCTGATTTCAGGATTCCTACATTTAGTGTGCCTCATAAACAAATTTGGTTTCATGATTATGTATTTTGAGAAAATCTTTATGCTTCTGCTTTTAGCTTGAGTCATCAATTGCCAATTCTTTCCTTAAGGATAGCTCTTATGTTGCATGTATATTTCTCTAGTGAAATCATTTTATCTGTGCCCCACTGCCTCATTTGTAATCCTTTTTCTTCTTCATAAGCCTTTTTACACTAATCATGGACACTCATTATCAATTTTTTCTTATAGGGAAAACAAGAATCTTACAGGAACAGCTCGATATGCGAGTGTTAACACTCACCTTGGAGTTGGTGAGTGAACTTACTGCATCTAATATTCATATGGGTTTTCCTTTCAGCAAACACCTGTCACCTTGGATTATTTTGGCTTTATTCGTGATCCAACTGTGCTCTACATAACTTGCAGAGCAAAGCAGGAGGGATGATCTGGAATCTCTAGGTTACGTGCTTATGTACTTTTTGAGGGGAAGGTGGGTTGAACACAATCACACATAACTGCGTTGTTTACTTTACAAACTCTTTAAATGTTGAGTCACATTGTTAACTTAGTTTGTTCTCCGTCTCAGCCTTCCATGGCAGGGCTTGAAAGCTGGCACCAAAAAACAGAAATATGACAAGATTAGTGAAAAGAAGATGCTTACTCCCATAGAGGTGCCTTTCTTTCTTGCTTTTGGTAACCGGAAATTCTTTTATACAAATATTTGAGACCAGACAAGAATAAGTTGGGTTAATCAGAAGTTGAATTTTTCAAAAAGTTTTCCCCCTAATTCTTTTCATGTTCTTGAAATTAAGGACTAATGTAAGTGTGACAAGTAATATGCCATTTTCAGGTCCTATGCAAATCATATCCTTCTGAGTTCACTTCATACTTTCATTATTGCCGATCACTACGGTTTGAAGACAAACCAGATTATTCATACCTGAAGAGGCTGTTTCGGGACCTTTTTATTCGAGAAGGTTAAATTGTTATTTTAAGTCCCACTGTTCTAATATTCATCACCTTTTTAATTTGTTTAATGTTGACATTTGAATCAGTCTTCTCATTAGTTCATCATCAAAAATTTGCATGAGATCTGCTTGATTGAACTCCCAAATTAATTGATTTTGAAAACTAACTGATGCAGGTTATCAGTTTGACTATATATTTGATTGGACAAAACTGAGATATCCACAGGTTGGCTCTAGCTCAAGAGTACGGGTAAGTGATGTTTAATTTGCTGGCCTTGATTTTCATGGCAATACTAATTTAATTTCTTCATTAAAGATTCTTATACTATGTTTCATGTCATCCTTAACAGCCAAGCCCAAAGCCAGGTTTAAATCCGCCAGGAGTACCTGCTGAAAGAAAAGAAAGGCCTTCAGGTCTCTTCCATTTCGCAGCCTGGTTTGAGAATTTATTCTGACAATTTAAGTGATGATAAATTTTTTGACATAAATATTTTATTTGAGACACCTGATTTCCAGTGTTCTGACCTTGATTTACTTAAATTATCTAAGTTACAAGTTACAATTCTTAGCACATATCTTTATTTCCTGTAGTTGGCCAAGAGATTCGAGAAAAGTTCTCTGGTGCAGTTGAGGCATTTGCAAGACGGAACGGCTCTGGGCATGGTTTGCACGGTGTTCAGTCTAGATACAGATCCTCAGGTGATGTGCCATCATCCATGGATGTGGTGAGTAACCTTGCTTCCGCATTTTTTCTTTACATTTCATTTAGGATTAATGTGTAAAATGGTCCATGTACTATATATCTTTTGTTAATTTGGTACTTAAAGAAATAAAATTCTCACTTTTGGAACTTCTACTTTCATTTTGTCAAGTACTTTGTTACTTTGCATAATTACTGTCAGTTTAGTGGCTGATGCGGCATGAATATCCAATAAAATCATGTCATGTGTCATAGATGTCAAGTCATTGCTACATCAGCTTTTGCCGCATCAGCAAATTTTTAAAATTTTAAAAAATTAAAAAATATATTTTAAAAATTTTTGAATTTTTTATTTAAATGTTTGATGTAGCAAATAAATGATGTGGCAATTACTGGGCATTTATACTACGTGTCATGATTTTATTGCGTATTAATGTCACGTAAGCAACTTGACTAACGGTGTTAGTCAACAAGAGTATGAATGAAAATTTGGGTACTAAAATGAGAATTTTATTTTTTTATATACCAAATTGACAAAAAATGCATAGTACAAGATCATTTTTGTATTTAACCCTTTCATTTATTGTTTTTCCATTAAATTTTACTTTCTTTTTAGGAAATTGAGTTTAAATTGCCTTACCTACTTGCCACAGAAGTTATGATTTTCTTTTAAACTTTTCTCTCCTTCAGCAGCCTAATTCTGAAAGGGCTCGCTTCTCCTCGAGAAATGATATCACTTCAAAGAGGCCAGTCATATCAGGCAGCCGACCTAGCTCCTCTGGTGAACCTAGTGAGAACCGGTCTAGTAGATTGGTCTCAAGCAGTGGTCGCCTGTCAACAACTCAGAGAGACCAACCTGGTTTTGAATCCAAATCATCATCTTTTAATAGTACTGCAGCCATAAGAGGTGGTCGTGACGATACCCTTCGGAGCTTCGAGTTTTTGACAATAGGGAGTGGGAAAAGGAAATAAATGGCATAGGCATCTATTAGGAAGGATTTGCTTGTGTTTAGAGTACACAATTTCCCTATTCTAGTTTCTAATGGAGATCTCGGCACAATAATGGTATTTACAAACAGTTACTCTGTACACCTGTGTCCATTGTTCGATTCCATCCACAACAATCTCCCCAAAGAAGTTTATCCTCGGAAAACTTTTGGACTCCTTCCTCTTGTACCCTTATCACATATTCTTGCTATTATGATGCCTCTATTAAGGAAAGAGATAAATGATCTCACTTCAGGGAAAATTTTCAAATATGTCCAACATTCTAGCTGTAATGAACACTTTTGATGTTTCTTTCTTTCACCAGAAGCAAAAGAGAACTATGCCTAAAAGGTCTATTGTAGCAAAAGACTTTGTGGCTGTCATCTGCTTACTCTGTTTATATCCTCACATTTTATGTAACCATCATCTGTAAGAAGAGTGTTGTTTCTGATTTTAGTATTACAATGTTGCAGTGATTATAATAACATGAGCTGCATAAAGATCTCTGCTCTTTAAAGTGACAGAAGGCTTTGTTTGAGTAGCCTTTATCATCATTTTGCCACCCTTGAAAATGCCAGATCAGCCTAGCTTATAACACCTAACCCAAAGTAAAGGGGAGTAAGGGGAGGATTTGTCTCTTTCAAATGGCATCAATGATTGAACATAGCTTTGGTATTTGCCTAGACTAAAAATGTGGGGATTGACTGGCTGACATCCCCAAACAATTGAGCCGCTAAATGCATCCCATATCTTTTCTCTATACATTTCAATTTTTTTTAAAAAGGGAATTCTAAATGTATCCCATTTAATGCTATATAAACCTCACTTTTATATACAATTCAAATTCAATACTCATTTTTTTATCTCTACTAAATATATCCCGCATCATAATTTTTATTTTCGTTCTTACTCTTTCTCTCTTCTCATTTCTTCATTCTCTGAAATAGAATTTTTTGTAAATGAATATTCAAAAAATTTTGAAATTTCTCGAAAATGGATATCTGAGAAGCTTTAAGAATTCTTAGATATTTATTTTCAAGAGGTCTTAAAATTTTTCAGATATTCATTTTTTAGAAATATCGAATCTTTTCAAATATCTATTTTTGAAAAGTCTTGAGTCTTCTCGAAAATACATATCTGAAAAGATAAAAGGTTTCTCGAATCTCTATATTCGAAAAGTGTAGAGTTTTTGATTTTTTAAGTAGGACAAATCTACTAATAGAAACTTTTAATCTTTCAGCCACCAAATACTGTCCTTTCAATAATGTTTGTAATATTTTTACAATTCTGATTGATGTGTATCTTAGAGGAATTGCTAAATGTGAATAGGCGCTCGTGGAAATTGGGTGTTGCACCGTGTGCATTGAAGCATGATTGCCTCATTGCATAGGGTGCAGTAGTCACATGAGCGATCTTTACAATTAGTGCTTTTTTTTTCAAATATACATTAGTTAGAATTGGATAAATATTGTGAACATTATTTATCAGACAGTGCTTAACCAAAAAATTAGAGGTTTGTATTGTCGGATTTAAACATCTCATATGTTGGAGCTTGAACACCCTACATTGACAATTTCAACAGTAGATAGATAAATTCGATAGTATCTAATTTTTTTATCACCAATCTTTATTGTCGGATTTGTCAGTTTATTCATAATATTTTTAAGTAGCCCAAAGATTAAAGATTCCGATTTTTTTGTTATCAAGAGTTTATAATTAAATATATATTAAAAAAATTTATATATTCTCAAAATTAGATTTTTAAAAGTTATATTGTGCTCTTAGAAATCCATTTATAAGAAAGTAATATAAATCTCAAAAATGATTTTTTGAGAAAGACGAGATAGTTATTGACTATATAAGCTATTAAGGGTATTATTATCATTTATTAAAGTTAAAATTTGTAATTGGTATGTAGGTATTTTTTGTAGAAATTTTTAGAGGTATATGAAAAATTTAGTGGTGTATATAGAAGTTTTTTTTTTATTTTTTGTAAGTAAAATTACTTAAATATATGTTTTACAAGTTTTCGGATATCTACGATTTTCTAGAAGTTATAACACTTCTTGAAATTGCATTTTTGAAGGTAGTGAAGTGAAATTTTATAAAAAAAATTACAAAAAAAAAATTGTTAAAATTATTTGTAAATTAATATAATAAAAATTATTATTAAAAAATCATAAATTTTAAAATTAATTAAAAAAACTTTTACTATTTTGATTTTAGAGAAATATTCAAATCTTATGAGGTCTTAATTAAATATTTTATCTCTTAATGTTATGAAAGGTGATAAAAAAATATCAGATCTGATCAACATATAAGAACTGAAATTTCTTTAAATTATATAAATAATAATATTTAATACTATACAATTTTGTTAAAATCTAATATATTAGTTGAAAAAACTCATCGTGATAAGTAAATAAAAAAATAAATCCAAAAAGTTCAGTTTAATAAAAACTATTATAAAATTTTAATAATCGATAAAAAAATATTGATTAAAAAATGATAAATTTTGAATTTATAAAAAAATTATATTTACTATTTGATATTTAATTTAATTAGAAGCTCATGTATTATTCTTTTTCTAAGATAAAAATAGTAAAAGTAATTTTTTTATTAATTTTAAATATATTACTTTTTAATAATAATTTTTTTTCTTACACTTATTCATAAATAATTTTAACATAGTTTTCTTTTTGTAAATTTTCATAAAATTTCATTCTATAACTTTTTGAAAATTATAAATTTATGAAAAAATATTTAAATAATTTCACATATAAATTTTTTTTAAAAAAATAAGATGTATAAAGAAAATATGGAGGTTCATTTAGATTTTCCCCCGATGCCTTGTTATTTTTCATGAGTTTAAGCATGATTGCATGATTATGTAATGCTTTTATTCACATGTATCATTCAAAGATTCGATCTTTAAAAAAAAAATTCATGATTTTTTGTTTTATTTTTTAGGTTGATCTTGCGGGAAGATGTAAACTTTTTAAACATCCTTTGCCATTGTAATTTTGTCTAATTTTTTTTATAAATAAAAAAATAAGACAACACCAAAACATCAAATTTGCACCTAAATTTTGTTCCCCAATCACCAAAAGATCAAATGTATACCTAATCTTTATCAAAGCATCGAACAGTGCTTATTGGGGCACATCTCAAAGCAGACGCTTTGCCATTTGTAAAAGCCTCGGCTTTCTTTTTCTTACCTCTCTGCTGGAACATAAAACAAAAACCCTCTCTCAAAAGTTCTTCGATTTGTCATCCACTCAAATTTATATATATAAGCACTTTCTTTTCCCCCGACAAGATTGAGATTACCTGATTACTTAAATTAAGAATGTAGCAATCTGTCGGCGTACTAGCCTTATATTAGGTATTATCAACAATGACAATGTTACCTGACCAACCAGTTCGTTTGATTCAGGTTTAAATGCATTGATTTGGATGGAAATGGGATGATCACACCAAATGAAATGCAATTTTTTTATGAGGAGCAGTTTCATCGGATGGAGTGCATAGCCCAGGAAGCAGTGGTCTTTGAGGATATATTATGCTAGATTTGGACATAATTGGTACGGATATTTAAATTTTAATTTATGAGATATTATTTATTTTTATTTAAAAATTTTATGATCTTATACCACAAAAAACATTCAACACTTAATTTTTGTAAAATTTTAAAGGTGATTTTTATAACGTAACACTTAATTTTCGTCTTATTAATGTTTGATAATATTTGTAAAAATTTATATTTAATCTGTAAATTAATATTCATTTTAATCCAAAATTTTTAAAATTTTATTTTAAAAAACTGCCTTATAAATTTATATTTAAATTTTTATTTATACATCATAATAATTTTTTAAAATCTTCTTATATAAAATTAGATTATCACAATTGAAGCAGAGGTCATTTATGGATTCTCCACCGATGACTCATCTTTTGTCTTCCGATACAGAGACATGCATGTATGCACACATACGAATTTCTGCATGACCAGTGTTAATACATTATTGGTTGTTTACAGAATCGGGGCTACATCACTCTTACGTGACTTGAAAGGCTGCAAACTATCTGGAAATGTATTCAACAATCTTTCCGATCTCAACAGGTTTATTGCTTTTGAAAGTCGTGATCCTTTCCTTCCTTTCCTTATTCGTCAGGTAAATGCATGTTCAACTTTGAATTTTAACATCATTATACTTTTTTTTTTTTTCTGGAGGTGCTGATTAATATATTTGCATCAGAAGCATGAAAATCCAACATTGCAGAGTGGGATCGCTTTGCACATGGAGAATATATTAGGCTTTCCATGGAAGAAGACGTCAAGGATGCTTAATTAGGTACGTTCAAAAGAGGTGCTGTTGTTGTAGATGGATACAATTGAAGTTGTTCTCTTTTGCAGTCCATTTTTTATGTGTTTGCAAAAAGTTAGGGTTTCCTCTTCTTTTTTAATCTATGTTGTTCATGTCAGTTTGACCCTCTTTCTTTCTTTTTATTGATTGTTTTGATACAGATATTTTCTTGGTTATTCAATTTATGGTTAAAAGAAAATGTTAATATTTGTAATAATTTGTTACTTAGATGCCTCCCTCTGAAGTCCTATTTCTCCGACAGCATTTCACCTAAAATTTTTTTTTTTTATTACAATCTTACAAGTATTCAATTATAATAAAGGGAAAAAAGAAGATAGAACTCGACGAATTGGCTTTATTTCTTTGTCCATCTCTAAATCTTGTCTTGGTTCAAAACCTAGTCTCTAAGGTTAAATAAATAAATAAACGCCAGAAAAGGATTTAACCATTTTCAAAGCATATGCAAATGATACGTTTCAGGCTACCAATGGTGTAATTTGTTAATAAAATACGTATTAAACTTTCAGTTATAGTGATCAAAATTTCTTGACAACCATATTAAACTTTTAGTTATAGTAATCAAGATTAGTCAAGAACCATAACAACCGTATGATCTGTTCAGAGTATTAAATTACCTAACTAATTTATTCAAAGATTTAAAAACAAAAAAACCAAAAAAAAAAACCTATCTAACTAATAACCAATTGATTTTTGTTGATAAATTTTGAAACTTTTAATTCAAATGATCAAAATTGACCGACAATTGTGTAATCTATTTGAAATGTTAAGACTTGTAGTTCTAAGAATCAAATTTACCAACAATCTAATGAATCTAATGATATGTTGGTAGCAAATTTACCAACAATCTGTATAATCTGTTGATCGAGTAATGAGCTTTTAATTGTAGTCATCAGGATTCACACTTTCATAGCTTCAAAATACAAAAAAGAAAAATGGTACACCTTGTAAACCAGAGAACAAGTTGATAATTACATGAAAAACAACAATGGGGGAATTGTACACGAACTTCTTTCTGCTTGACAATGTGGGGGGAAAATACACAACAAATTTGAAAGAATATTTACTTTCAGATCTTATTTTACAAAAGAACACTCTCCTAGGCTGACTCAAGATTATCTCAAACCACTTGTTTTGGGGCTTTTGCCCCTATAAACTTTTCACTGAAAATTTGAAATGTACGATGTGGGCGAAACAAAAGCTATTCACCAGAGAACAGTAAGCATTTAATATTTGGATACCTGAGGCCAACTCTCATCCCTCAGCAGCGAGGACATTGAAGGTGGTCATTTTCTCGAACAATTCTCAGGGCCTTGTAGTTGCCGAGGCAAGAGGTTTGAGAAGCTCCCTTGAACAGGTTGACTGGCAGCTGCAGCTGACTCATCCTCTGCAATATTTAGACCAAGATTAACAAGAATGAACCATCTCAAATACTGGATATAAGCCTGATTGTGACGCTATATCAATGCCAAAGCATCAACTTTCAAAATCTTGCAACGTGCCCAACTTGACAACTATTTATGCGCAGCAAAGCCGCTAAACAACACCATATAGTAAATAAACAAGCTATAAACTGTAAGCCACCACCTGAACCTTACCCAACAAAGGTATAATAATAGTGATAATATCTTACCAAAAAGGGACTTGATGGAGGGTCTCTTGGGTTTTGAGCTCTTCTTCAACTCAGCTGCACAATGGAATAAATAAAACCGTCAAATACGAAGATATTTGCTAGGTTGGAAATTTTCACAGAGGATAAAGTTGTGCTCAAAAAAACCAAAAGAGAAATGAGAAGAGAGATCAGTAGAGAAAAACATGTATCAATGATCTTCACAAAGATACATAAAGTGTTTGAAAAGTTCTTGGACAAACTACAGGCATGGAAAATAAAAGGAACAAAGTCACAAAAATATAAATTGAGGAAGGAAGCAAAATACCAATGCCAGGTAACTGATTATCATTTACAATTTCAAAGTTTTTGTACGTGTAACCCACAAAGTTTATATCCTTGGATGAAAGCATCTGCATCAAAGGAAAAAATTAAATAATATTCTGCAGGATAGCAATAGAAACATCATTTATCAGCAATTACCCTTTATTACCCATGTAAAATAGGTTGATTTCAATATTATTATATACTAAAGACAATAGACATTATTATATCTGCATTCCCCATAAAGTTGATTTCAACAATTTCTGAAACATACTGAAATATAACATATATAATAAATACAATAAACTAGGAAATGGTACGTTCCCCATGATTTTTATATGAAATTGGCTATGATATTTAAGTAAAAAGCAGATTCCCCAAAAATTCATTTGATGGAACATTAGTATAGGTGCAACAAAAGAACCAACAGAAATCCCCTAAATGAAAATGATGCTGTTTAATTTCAAAAACTTCAATGAAGGAAATTTCTAACAAGCTTGGTTAGGAAACAGTGTCCGGTCCTAGTGAATGGTAGCAGCAAGAATTTACAGTATACAAATATTTTGTAATGATACTGATGAGTCAAATTCTTGAACTTCAAAAAATATTTTAATCGAAAATACATGTATTTGTATTACCTTTCTCCATGGACCTGATTTTGCTGCAGATGGAATTTGGTTGTCAGCCTGGTGCATGAAAGAAAGGAGAACAATAAGAATATGTCTAAACAGGCTATTGCATATTTATAAACACAATGTCACTAATTTACCTCGTCAAACTTCTCAAAATTTTGCGTATCCAATTCATCATTGACTTCAGGAATAAAGGCGGCTTTCATTTGATATAACTTGTCCCATTCAATACCTTTAAACCATGGGTGAGCCTTAAAGAAACAGATATAGCTGGTTAATTTAGAAATTTGCATTCTATTTTAAAACAGAATCAATGAATCTAGAACAGAACACACCACACAACACCTTAATTTCATCGGCACCTTTTGTGCCAAGCCTCTGCTCAACATTACATAAAAGTTTACTGATAAGATCTTTTGCTTCAGGGGATAATTTTGCTTCTTCTGGAAATTTTAAGTTTGTTCTCCAATTTACTATCTGGAAAATGTAGAAAAAAGGACAATACTTAATTATTGCTAACAAAGAAAACAAGAAGTATAATTAAGAGTTGTAATACAGAAGCCAAACACAAACAGTACTCAGATGCAAAGATGGACAAAAATATAAATAATATCACAAAGACATGACAGCATAGCAATGTAATGGTAAAAGCTTTACCTTCCGACAGGTTGCCATTGGCTCATCTGAATAAAAGGGTGGATATCCAACAAGCATTTCATACATGATAGCACCAAGAGACCACCTAGAAAAGTATCCAAAAAATACCATTATAACATATCACACAAGATATATATACAAACAAAAAAACCATGATAAATTACACACCAATCACACTCCATTCCGTATCCTTTCTTCAGCAAAACCTCTGGAGCAATATAGTCAGGGGTACCAACCGTAGAATAAGCCTGAAATATTACAGTATCTAAATGTTTAGGCACAATTAATTTGCAGTTTCAATAAAAAGTAAAAGAAAGGTCTACAAAATGAAGTCAGCAGGAAAGAGATGTGAGCTTTTGGTCTTTCTAGAATATATAAGGCAACTAACAGCTGTAGAATATTATAGGCCTTGCAAACTCAAAAAAAATCAAACAAAGCCTGAACTATGGAAAATAAAGGAGACACAAGTCAAGAATTTTCTTGCTTCGTAAACCCAGTAGTACAATCACTAATAAAAATAAGTAATGTTGCATTAGTGACAAATACTTACAAGCATCCTTCTGTTCCTCTGCCAGTGCTGCAATTGCTCTTGTTGCGTGCGTTTTGGTGCTGCAGGTCGTCCATTACTTTGAAGAGCCCCACTGAGATTGTTTTTCATGGAAAAATCCTTTTCCTGGAGATTACTGCAATCTAACGGTTTACATAATCCAAAATCTGATAATTTCATATGACCATATCTATCGAGTAGCAGGTTGTCAGGCTTGATGTCTCTGCAACATGTGACATAACATGGGTTCATCCCCAAGTCCAAACACAGGAAGACCATTATATAAAAGCGTATGAAGGGTTAATGTCACATCAACTCACCTATGAATATAATTATGTTTGTGGATAGATTCAATCGCCAGGACAGTTTCTCCAACATAAAATCTGGCCTCATCTTCAGTTAGTACATCCTTCCGCATCAGTAATGTCATCATATCTCCCCCAGGTAAATATTCCATAATAAGATATAGATACTCTTCATCTTGGAAGGAGCAATATAGTTTGACAATGCAATTACTGTCAACCTCTGCAAGTAGATTTCTCTCAGCTTTCACATGTTCAACCTGAAGATTAGGAATGCAAACTAACCAATCAGCATCATGACTCAGAACATATTAAAGAAATTATATAGCAGGCTTAAAATTGTGTACCTGGCCTCTACGAAGCATCTCTGATTTCTTAAGCTTCTTCATAGCATAAACATGACCAGTTGCCTTCTCCCTGCAGACTCTAACCTGTAATGAGAAAAAGTGAAGTTAAAAGTAATTATGGCCAAATTCCTTCTGCAGGGTAAAGTGAAAGATAATCAATAAAAAAGAGTTCAAGTTGTTCAACAGTTGAAAAATAAACTAAGAATAAAGGTGAATCACAGGATAGAGGTAAAACTACAGCCAAAATATTCAGAAGCATCAGTAACTAGCAAATCATGCAACTAAAGCAGTATATATGTAGAAAACTGTTCTTCTAGAAGTTTCATAGATGCATTGTCTCAGGAAAATAAAGTTCTGATGGCAGGCAGAACAATTTAAATATAAAAGTTTAGCACAATGAATCTAGTGGTAGCCATAGCTCATCAATTTTACTTAATTTTGCAAGTAGATTAATGCAAGATCAGAAACAGAAGCAAGAGAAGCAACTATGTTATGACGTACAATATGACGAAGATATAATTACCTCCCCAAATGCACCCTTGCCTATCATGGTCAATGGCTCAAAATCATCAGCACCCATTTTATGCCTCTGAAGACGCATGTATTCAGTTTCCTTCTTCTCAAAAAACTTTAGTAAGTTGTTTTGTTCTTCTTCAGAGACTTCAGCATCAGCCAACTTCTTTTCTAGAATATCACGTCTGCAGGAAATCATAATTACCGAAAACCATTATTCCTATTCTTCAAATTAAAACCACCATAACCTTCGCAGCGGTCCTCCACAAACACATATTTTATCATTTTATATTTTTTGCAGATGATACAGAATGCAATGACAGCATTAAGTTTTGAACCAAAACCTGCTACTAAGCATCTTGATATGAGATAATTCTGCCAAATTGTCAGTCCACAACATAGAGCACAGTTACATTGCTTGCAACATTATAGTTATGCAACCACATAATGGTAACACTATCCATGGGAAAATTTCCACAAGAGGAAGAATTTAAATCATACCGCTCCTTTCTTTCCTGCAGACTTTTCATCTGCTTCTTGTAATGGTTTTCAATATACTGCTTTGCAGCAGCTACCCGTTGTTTGGTGACATTTGAAAGTGCCTCTTCACTTGTTGGAGGTTTAGACCCCTCCTTGGCATTGCCTGCAGCTTCTTTCTTCTTTGAAGGTCTTAACTTATCTTTTGATTTCAACTTGTTGAACCAACACCTTGCAGTTTCCATTGTCATACGCAATAAATACAGCCCTTCTGAACCCATGCAAATAAATGTACATTTTTGCTCAGTATTGCTAAGTAATACTCTTGTTATCTACTACCTTATTCTCAAAGACAAAAATCCTGCAGACTTTAGCACATTACTGTTTACCAAAATATCCAACAAACACATTCCGCAATGAAAAAGAGTGAAATAAGAGTATATTAGCTTAGAATGAGTGCAACATTTCAGAAACAGAAAAAAGGAAAACCAAGAAACTTTTTAAAACACAATTTTAGGTTGATATCAGCTGTCAAGGGACATGACACACATACAAACTCAAATCAGATAATTGGACAGAACATGCCAATTATTAGAAACCTCATAATCCACTCAAGGCGAGTAATGTCTCACCAAACATTCACTTACTATGTTAGCTTAATTAGTTGCAACATGCTCGCATTAGCCAACAAACGTATGCACAACTAGATGCACTTTTGCACAATTCTCACTATACAACATGGTTTTTCCTACATTTTTCAGCGACCAAACCTCAACTAAAAGGTCAAAACCCAAATCACAACTAAGAACAAGGCAAAGAAAAACAAGTGGAAACCCAACGCAGTATTCTATTGATTAACAGTGACCAATCTAAAACACCTATAGAACAAAAAAAATCATCATCAAAACATACCAAAAAAAAAAAAATTTTGCGATCCTTACCTAACAAACAAATCGTACCAAAAAAAAAAAAACTAATTGCAAACAATTTAAAGTCAGCGTTAAGTCAGATCAATAAAATTCAAAGCAATTCAACTCAGATATTCTCGCAGAAAGAATTAACAATGCTTTACACTAAAATCCAGCTTTTTCCTGCATTTTCTCACCAACCAAACAGAACACTCAAAATCTAAGACTAAACGGAATCTAAGAACCGAAAATCACTATCAAGGAATCAAAAGCTATAATTCAACAGGAAAAAACGATCAAAAACACTGAACTTCCCAAATAGTCAACCAAAAAGTTCCCTTTCAATTGTCCAACGTTTTCTCACCAACCAAACATAAGAGTCAAATCGAAACCTCAACTCAATCTAAGAACTAAAACTAAAAACAAAAAATGAAAACTCCCAAAAATAATTTCTCAAAAAATTAAAAAAAAAAAAGAAGGAAGAAAAATGAGTTATAGCAATAAAACTGAACCCACCTTTAAAACGCACTCAAGAAACTGAAGCGGTTGGATTTCTGGACAGTTCGATTTGAGCAAGAGAGAGAAGATAAAAAGGCACCGTACAAATTGTAGAGAAGAGTGAAGAAAACCCTAGAGGGAAAGAGAAAACGAAGAGAAGAGAAGATTGAGGCAAAGATGAGGAAATTGAAGCTCCTTTGGTTAGAATTTTAGGCTTTTCCAAAGTTGGAAGCTTTGCCCTCCCTATGCCCTTGCCTTGCGTTTATATTTATATTTATATTTATATGTTTATAAAAATATTTTAAAATTTAGCAATTTTGATCTAAAGTTAAAAAAAAAAAAATTAGATGAAGTTTCTTTCTAAAAATCATTTAATAAAAACTTTAATAAAAATTTAAATCAATTAGAATTAATTAGAATCTAATATAAATATATATGAAAAATATTAAAAATATCATTTATAATTTAAATTTTATCGATATTTATTTAATCTTAAAAATTTTATCAAAATTTTTATTAAAAATATCTATTTAAAAATATATCAAAATTTATTAAATTTTATATACTTGACCTATGAAATAAAATCTTTCAATTTATAGTTTTTTTTATTTTTTTTATTTAATTATTTTTTAAAAAAATTGTATCAACTTCACTTAAAGAACTTTATCTAAGCTTTTTTTTTTCAAAAATGTAAGAATTATACTAATATAAGTAGATCATTCATCTTTTTTAAAAAATATCTTAATATTAAAAATCTATTAAGATAATCTCTTTTTTTTTTCTCTTCTTTTTTTTATATTTCTATTTTTTTCTTTTTTTTTAGCTACTTTCTTTTTTTTCTCTTTATATTTTCTACAATTAATCATGCACTTCAATGTGGAGTATCCCAACTCTAATGTTTGAAAAAAAAATTAACATAATATTTTTATTAATAAAAAGTATGTTACACAAAAGAGGAAAGTTTAGTTTGATCATTATTAAACTAATCAATTTAAAACATGTCGTGATAACATGTTAAATGTTATATTTTAAAAATAATTATATAAATTAATTGAATTAAATTTTAAATTTATTAATTTAATTATTTTTATTAATGAATGGTCATAAATTTTAATTTTTTTTCATCTTTTCTCTTTCATCTTTTTCCTTTACCTTCTACAATAATTTTGACTTATATGCATAACTTAAAAGAGGTATTACTATTAATTATTAAGATGGATGATTTAATGAAGATAAATAAAATTATGTATGGAGGTTTTTAAGTGAATAGAATCAAATTTGATAAGAGTGGTGCTTATAATCAACTAAATAATGACATAATTTATCACTTTTAATCCAAAATTCAATTTTTCTATTATTTTATTATTTTTAAAATTAATATATTTTATTTATGAGTATTTAATTATCATAAGAAGCTAATGATATTTTAGCTTAATGGTAAGAGGATGCCTTATATTCATGAGGTGACAGGTTCCAATTTTATTGTGCATGTATTTAGTTATATAATTATGTTTTAATTTGTTAATTTTTTTAATATTTTAATTGATTATTCAGTTATTATAATTTGATTACAATATAATAATTTATTATTAATTGATTATATTAATATATTACTTAATTATAATTTTAAAAAAATTATCGTAAGAATTTTTTATTTAATTATCATAAGAATATCTATCTAAGAGTTTAAGCGAATGAATTTAGCATTCAAATACACAAAAAAGAATTTTTGCTTTGATAACTTTTACAAGTTGTTTGATTCTGTTTTATTAAAAAAAGTCAAAGTAGTTTCTAACTTTTGGAAAACTGCTTGGACTTTTAATGATGGTTTTATTGCTTTTAAACATGATAATTTTAAATATGATATAATTATACGATACAAAAATTATATAAAAGAATTATATAAATATTTTAAAAAATATATTTTGTATTTATTCGTATCAATATAAATTTTGATATGATATAATTTATGTCATATATATATTGATTTGTCTAAATATGTAACACGATATAAATAATATGTTTAATTTAATATCATGTAAGTATGTATTTAACATATTTTTTATATTTATTTTAATTTAATACAAACATATAAAGATTATTTTAATTTTTAATTTTTTAATTAGGATACTTAATTAACTATTTAATCTCATATAGAAATAATTTTAAATATTAATTATGATACTCATTTAATAATTATTATAAAATTATTTTTATATTAATAATATAAATAGAATATTAATATTAATCCTAGACATTATTATTTTATTCTTTAATCTTTAGTAGTTTATCACTTTAAATTTAATACTAAAAATTAATATAGTTATATATTATAAATATATATATATATATATTAAATGCATATTCCATGGGTATTAAATTATTTTTTATTTTTTAATATGCAAGTATTTTTTATATTATTAATATGCTAAATTTATTAAGTTATAAATGATGTGGTTTATAATTATTTATTATTTTAATTATGTTTTTGTATATATTCGTGTTAGTTGTATCTATTTGTTTATATCCGTATTAGTCATATCTATTCATGTATATCCATATCATAATTGTTAATTTCGTTTCAATATTAATCGTATCGATCAGTATGCTTCAATTATATCAAAATATGATACACTTAAGGATGATTTTTAGCATTAGATTTAGTATGAGTAATACCAATTGTTTTTGTTAGTTTTGACCTATTTCAGTGAATTTTGATAAAATAACATGTTTTGACTAATATGTAAATGTGAAATATATTTTGTAAATTTTAACTTATTTTTTGTTATTTAACTATTTTAACTTAATAAAAATAAATTTAATTGACAAAATAATCCTTAAAAGTTAAATTTCTTTATTTTTTATTTTAATTTATTTTTTTATATTTTATTTTTTTAAACCAAAGTTTATAATTTTATATTTTATTTTTTAAACCAAAGTTTATAAGTATTTCAATTTTTTTTCAAAAAAACAATTATTCTCCTTTTATAAAGTTTAATAATCATAAAACTTTAATTAATGTTTTTCATCTCTTTATTTTTATCTTAATATTTATATGAAACAAATACTTATTTAAATATCATATGATCAAATTAAGTATTTAAAAATATCATAAAAATTTTATGATATTATTTCTTATGTTTTTAAATTTATTTATTTGATTTGAATATATTGCATATTTATTTTGTGGCTTATTAATAGCATTATAATGTATAAGTTCATGCATGTTTATAAATATATTTATACTAAACCGAAAAATCTAAAATAATATATCAAAACAACTGTACCAATATATATTATTTTTTTACAAGAAATCGAAATGTTATCTGATACAATATTAATAATCTTGATCCATATTATTCGTATTTATTTGTGTCACATTTAAACAAATTTATTATTCATGTTAATCGTATCGTGTCGTGTGCAGTACGTATATTAAACGTGTTTTGTTCGTGTTTAACATTTAAACATATTTTATAATTTATGTCATGTTTGTATTTTAATAATTCGTGTCATTACATATATCTAATATGATATAAAATATAACATAAAAACACGAATTATTAAATCTATTGCTTTTAAAGTTTTATAATATTTATATATGTGCAAAGCTAAGTCATTTGAGATAGAAAATTTTTGGAAGCAGTCTTAATTGGAAGCCATAGGAAAAAGCTCTAGAATTTATTTATTTATTTTATCTTATGGATGTTGAGTTCAACTCTTGTAACTGTATTTTTTTTTTTTAATTTTTAGATTGCATTTTTTTAATAAAAAATCATAGGAATTATTCTCCTAATTTCATGGTAGAGAAGGAAAGATATTTTATTTTTTAATTGGATTGTAATTTCACAGTAGATGAGGTTTAAACTAAGCTTAGGGATCATTTGAATCCCATTTACACATTGTGTAGGTGCGATTTGTATCCTTTATTTTTTCAATCTCATCACGATGGTGTTTGACGAGTATCAGTGAGAAACGTTTGCCTCCAGTCTTTCACTGAATCTTTTAGGTCCAGTGAAAAAATTTTTACCCATAGCACATCTTGTTTATACTTTGTCTGTTATTATTTTTCACATTTACCCTTAAAATTATGGTGCTTGAACAAAAATTTTCATCCCATTTTTTTTTTGTTTTTTATTTTAATTTTTTATTTAAAAATATTAAAATAATTTAGGTGATTTAATATAATAAATTAATTTTTATTACATAATAAATTAACAAATAAGTTTTATTATTATACAATAAATTAATAAATAAGATGTATTAATATTTTGATTGAAAATAAAATTTTAATATTAAAATAATATTATAATATTATATTATTCATAAAAATAATTTATCAATATATTTTTAGAATCAAGTTCTTAATGATAATTTTTTGTTCTCATCTCATCGCCATAATTGTTTTTTATCCAAATACATTCTATCATTGATTTTAATTTTAACATCATAATAATCAATATCATTTTCACCGTTATTTTTAATTTCATCGTCTATTTAGAGAAACCCTTTTTTTATTTTTTATTTAAAACCAATGACCACACATGGTTTAATTTAATAGTAAATGGATTGATTATGAAACATATGCATATTAAAAATTAAAAATAATAAATTCCAAATTTCTTATAAATATTTTAATTCATTGGAATATATTCAAAGTAGTAATCAAAATTTACCTTCAAGTTCAATGACACAGGCTAATTTTTATGATAGTTAATATAATAAATTTGGGTTTTATTTATATTATCACATTAATTTATTTTTTTATATTGCAATGATCAAGATCATATTGGAAACCAATTATTTGAGCATGAAACTTGCTTAAATCATTGAATTAAATTAAATACTTGAATGCTACATTTCAAGTTATTCTTAAGAAAACATGCCATTGAACATTTATTTGCTTGAAATTAAACTTACCAAAAATGTCCATTAATCTTTTTATTTAGGCTTTGTTGAAGTCTGTCTCCTTTTCATCTATGTATAGCTAAAGCATAATGGAAGATGAGAAAATTTAACCCATCATTTTTTTATTTAGGGAGAAGGAAAAAAATTAAATCCAACTCTTTATAGAAAAATTATACATTAATTATTGAGTCAAATGCTTGGATATAAAACTATAATATCAAATATATTTCGTAATTTTGGATAAGGTTACTTAAGAATATTAATCTTATCTATACCTAATGGTAAACTCGATGTTTTATCTTAATAAAGATGAAAATATTGTAGGTATAGAGATAAAAATGAGTATGATTTTAAATTTTTATTTAGTATAAAAATGGAGATGAAAACATATAATAAAATATCCGTCTCGTACTTGTACTTGTATCTTACATATATAAATTTATATATATTTAATAAATACATTTTTTATTAAAATAATATAAATTATTATTTTAAATTAATTAAAATTAATATATTTTTATTGAAAAAAATATATTTTTATAAAAAAATCTAAATATATAAGATAAAAATAAATAAAATTTAGTTTTTATTTTTTAAAAAAAATTATGAGAATAGAGATTATTTATACTCATTAAATACCTATAGAGATAAATATGAAGATAAATTAAAAATATTCGTTAAATATGACTAAAAAAATAAATATAATATAAAAAATATGAAAATGAGTAATTCTCTATCGGACCCATACCTTATCGATTGATATCCTTGATGTAGCCTATGCATTTACCTTTCCAGAGGAAACATCGTGGAAAAACCAAAGGTTAGGTTGAACATTTATCATGCCATTAAATGCTGCCACATTTTCAAAGAAAACCGACCAGGGGGGACACCTACATTTTTCAGGGTTCAAGTCCTAATCTGGCAAACATTTTGTCTTTGGCTTCCTGAATCATCTTATCTGATCATGCAAAACTAAAAATGTAATACTAATATTAATGTGTCAAGTAGTGGACTTCAACTATCGCTTGCATTAATTTGTTATTACCGTCATGGGCATTAAACAGGTTCCTGTATTTTCCATTGGAAGGGGAAAAATCAAGTCTCAAACAACATGGTAGGTGTTGGCATAAATGGGGCTGTTGGGTTTTGGAGACAGGGTCAAGAAACAAAGAAACGATGGCCCAATGGGACTGACACAGGGATTGGGAGCTTGGAGGAGATCTTTGGGAGGCAATGGCAAGGGAACATATCCCATCTTCTTACACCAGGAGAAAATTGGACAATGCATGTGCTTATAGCTTCAATGTATTTATGGAACATTATGGATATGTTGGAAAGTTATAGCCAGAGAAGGCTACCAAGACCCTCTTGACTGGTTTTTGTACAAAGTTGTGTTTTGACAGACAGATCCATTTGCTTGTAGGTTTGTAAAACAAACAACTTTGGAAGATGAGTCACAAGTTATTGTCTGAAAACTTGAAGAATGGGTTGATTTGTGAGTCAAATATGAATGCATGAAACGTGAAAACACTGGCATTCAAGTTAAAATTTAGGGAGAATTCATGGAAATTCCAAACTAGGGAAAATGAACATCCTTCCTTAGTCAATGAACTTGGTCTAGCTTCCACCATTTCATTTGTCAATCAGAGCCTTTTCTAAATTTTATAGGCCAGAAAACCAGGGAATGAATTTGCTAGTCTGTCCAATAGACAAGGCAAAAAGACTAGTAGTGTCACAGTTGTGGAGGCCAAAGAAATGAGAAATGCTGATAGTCAAATTTGTCAAGTACTTAAAAACGTTCTTCAAAAAAAAAAGATTACTGAACTCTTAATTTCAATGATTAAAGTTCAAATTTTGATAATTTTGAGTAAAAAACAGTCTTTACTTGAAAAAAATTCAGTGCAAAATGTCCTTCCAAACGAATCTACTAATAGCAGGCTAGCAACTGCAAGTAAACAGCAGGGGATAGATTGATTCATCTAGCACAAAAATTCTAACTATTCATTTAACTCTTTCGATCCCAAATTACAAATCCCATCTTTCACCGTTTATAATACCCTTTCTTTTATTATTACTATTTTTTATTTTCCTTACCTTGGTCAAATTTATTTCCAGAAATGCCAAGAGCCATTTTTTTTCTTTGATGCCAAGGGCCAAACCCCAACTTTGTTCGTTACAACTAGAAGTGGCAAAACCAATATGAATCCAAAGCCTGAAAAAGCTTCAACATGAACCCAGCCAAATCCGAAATGATTAAAACATATTGTTCTGGATTTGAAACAATCTGAACTCGAATTAATCTGATGCAAAACACACGCTGAATACAAAATGACAAAAATGGAATCTAAACCGTCCATTTGCCACCTCGAATTACAGCCCATCGGAGATTCAAACCTAAATCCAAATCCATAACTTCCTGTAAGGGAAAAACCTGCCAGTGAAAGCTACAGCTTTTCCAATGTAGCCTAACCACAAAGAACAAACAAAGAGGCAAGAAAAGCAAAGAGAATAGATAAGAAGAATATTCAGTTATGGAAAAACTTGGGAGTTAAAAGCCTCAATGTTTATGCACTTGAGCATTATATATTTTTTGTATTTGATTATTAGTCATTAGCTGAAGTAGCTTTGAACAACACCAAAATAAAGGGAAAAAAATTGAAGAATAGCCTATGGATGGTGATCAGTTTATGGCATGTCAAGTGATTCATTACATGAAAAACAAAAGGTAAAAAAAATAATAATGTGAACCATTGCTTAATGCCACAAAATGAACTTGTCTACTGCATCAGTAACGGAGCTTCCTGATCCCTTGGAGCTGAAGAAGATACTATGAGAGAAAGGGGAAGTCCTGGGGTTGAAAAACTCTATTCAGAATTCCTGAGGCTTTTACTTGTCAGCCACAATTTCTTTTGGACAATAAACACAATGTCATCGCCCTCATGATCTGAATCCGAACTGGAATCAGCTGTTGCTACTGGTTCCCAGTGCAAAGCTGACAAATACTTCCTTGTGAAATCTATCACTGGTTGCTTGTCCTGGGTGATTATGAAACCACTGGGACGGAGAATGCGATCCATCTCAAGTAACAAATCCTCAGCACTGCAGCCTTTCTTCTCAATATCAGAAAAGACAGTCCAAGCATGGAGTAAATCATAAGTTCAAGCGTATGTGGAAAAGGATTCACACCTGCCAAAATGATTAGTCCAATTAATACAAAATTTACATTCTATCTTCAACATGCATTTCACTATTTAACCAGCCATAAAGAAAAGATCTATATGCAATGCAAAAGGAAAAGCGTCACCGTATATTTTTTTCTTATAAAAAAGCCATGCAGGTGGCATCGATTTGATAAGAACATAGGGGAAAAGCCAAAGCTGTGTTTTGTTAAAGGTTCCATTTCACCAGAGACACCTTTAGTCCTTTCGCTGATCCTAAAGAGACCAATGTTTGTACAGTATGCAACTACAGGAGGCCAAAATGCAGAGACAGCAAGCAAAGTACAAAATTATATTTGAGGAATCCATTCCAAGGAATAAAAGGAATCAAAACATGAAGCAGAAAACTCAGACGGACACACACCTACAATCATTCTTTAGTAGGTGTTCAAAATTATTCATCATGGTTCATATTTTCTTTTGAGCCAAAATCAGTAGGCATTGGCAATCTTACATTTGCAATCGAAGCAATATACTTGCCAGCTCCATAGTGAAAATGGGTGCCTCCCCTGGAAATGCTATCTTCTCACCTTTTACAACCATCCAGTTCTGGTTAGACTTCTCATGTGCAAGGTGAGTATGGGGAATGTTTGCATTCCATACTTCATCTCTGCTGTGAGGCCATTTAATTGGGATCTGTAATTTCACATGAATTAAAAGACAGTCAATATATGATAAATATGATCATGACCATCAGTTAACAAATATACAGCAACAATAAGCTGATTGCTCAGTTTATGGGAATCTGCACGTTGTATCCTGAAGGAGGAGGAATCAAGCAATAGTAGGTGGACAGTGCCGTTCATAGTGCTCCATAACAGACAAGTCCAGCTTTAATCTCATTTGGTATATCAAATTCCTGTCTAATCAGGGAATTAATTCTGAATGATGATCATCGCAAACCTTCAAAGTCATAAGCAGAGAAATTAAATTCCATGGCAACTAATAAAGAGAAGAAGCAAAGGGGGATTACAAGTTGAAAGGTAAGGTACTAAGTTTAGAATTAACAGGAAAGGAAAAAGACAGTGTCTAGAAATGGTTCAACAGTAAAAAACTTACAGGGAAAGATTTTGTATGACATCTTCTTCTCCTTCCACTTATTCAAATTTGGTTGAAGACTCATATTGCATGCCATCATCATCTCCACCCAAATAAGATGATCCAAGTTTTCTCAAAGATCTGCCGCCATATTCTAGAGCTGCAGCACCACGGCTTGAAGACCCAAAAATAGATCCATAATATACATAGAGAAAACAAAGAAAGATTGCCACGACACAGAGAGAGGTGATTAAACGCTTATGTTGGCCTCTATCAGATCTTCCCCTCATCCTTCGTTTAAGTCTTTTCACTTGAGCACTAAATTGTCACAACACAGATCTCCTTCTCCTAATCTATCCGGCGTCAAACTTTCTATTCAAAATAAATCTGTTTTGTTGCAACAATCAGACTTCATTCATAGAATGAAGAACACAAATCACTTCACAACTTGTCAGAGAGAAACACCTTAGATAACTGATCAAACATTTAAATAAACAAGTAAGAAACCATCAGGTAATTCTCTTCAGCATACAAGAGTCAAGCGCACAAGTTACGGAAGTTACTTCTTGTATGACCCTTTCGGAATCAAATCTTGAAATTCAATATCATATTACTATTACTTGGAATTGTCAATTACTCAATAACATTGCAAGAGGGTAACTGCAACACCTTTTACTAAGAAATTAAAAAAAAAAAAAAAACCTCTTTAACACTAATAAGGGCGCCTAATTATTCTAGTGAATGAGCACCAATCCATTACCATTGGCACAAAAGGTGGTGTTGCAGAAGGTTAAACAATAAAGTTCAAAAACCAAGCTTTAAACTTGTGTAACAATTCGGATCCATGTTAATAGTCAAAATATATAGGTAAAAACTTACCTTACATAATGAGAAAGGAAGAATAAGGAAAAAAGGAAAGAACAATGCTAATGATGCTAGCTGCCTACAGTAGTAACTAGTTGATTGACAACCATGCAATGAAAAGGATTGATCAATGAAAAAGCAGTAAAAAGCACGCAACTAATACTCCTTTTTCCCTGAAACAAGGGTAAGAATGGAAACGACAGCTACTTAGTAACTCTAATGAACTAAATCAACAGAGTTGATTCGAAAACTCAACCAATTCTAAATTTTTACATTAAGAAAAAGCATCGGAGCAAACCAAATTCAACCATCAAGAATCAAACTTTGAATCGAACTTTGATTCCGTAGGAAACAAAAATACTAACATTTTTAAAGTGAAGATAGCAAATTGAGATTGACCCATTAAAGCTACAACAAAAAACACATGAATCAGATCCCTTCATAAAAGGAAAGAAACGAAATTTCAATGAAAACCCAGAACTGTAATCACTAAAACAAGCTTAGAAGTAACAAAAGCTTACTGGGTTTCAATCAAAAAAACGAAATGGGTAAGTTTAATTGAGATCTAAAAAAATTGCTGTGGATTTTCTCCCTACATGAAGAACCAAAATAAACCAAGAAAGAGAGAGGCATTAGATCACAAGAATCTGCTTTTTTTTTATTGTTTTTTCTTTCTGGTTTTGCTATTTTTAGAGAGAAAGAGAGAGAGGGAAGCAATGAGGCGGAACTGTACGTAGTATGTACTCGGGAGAGTGAAAGAGAGAGAGAGAGAGAGTGAGACACAGAGACAGTGTGACGTTCCAATGGTTGTTAAAGGATCTACGTATGAATCCATCTGTCCAAGATTGGCTTCGAACATGGTGCAAAAATGACTTTGGTTACTGTTTTTTTTTTTCAAGAATCTGGTTGATGTTAATGTCTTGTTCGATCACCGTCAAAATTGAAAAGTAAAATTTGATATTCAATGAACATGAATAATATATTTTAAAAAAAATGAACATGAACAATAATATTAAACACAGCAGCTCGATGAAGTGATATTATTAATCATTTAAATATATTCATAATTAAGATTTAACATTTACACAAAAATAAAAGTAAAAAAAATAGAATTTATTATTGGAGAAAAGAGATTTGTATTTAGCTTTTTGAATATGGGTTGTTTTTCTTCCCGTCAATTAGCAAAATCTCTAAAAATCGTTTAATTTCAAATATTAATCAGTTTTTGATGTTTAAAATTGGAAATTTCTTCATTTCATCAACAAAATTAATTAGTTTTGAGATTTATTTTTTATTTGTATTTTGTTAATTGACTCAATTGCAATAATAGAATCTGTTTATATTTTTAATTATTCATTTAGATAATAAATAAAATTAATTTTGATAAAATTAAAAATAATAATAATAATTAGCACATCTATCAAATTTCACGGCAAATGTTGGTCGGGTTAAAAGTATAATCCCTCGAGTTCAAATCGATACAATATTAAATTTGAGTTTGATCTTAATTTTAAATTCGAAGCTTAGAACTCGACTTAAATTCAATCAAAATTTTTTTTTTTAATTCGAACTTAACTCTAAATAAAAATTAAGCTATTCGAATTCATTCGATTATGTTTGATTAACTTGTAAAAATAAATTTGATTCATATATTCGATAAAAATTTGATTATTTATGCTTGATCTCGAATTCAAATTTGAGATATTTTATTAATTAAAATAATTAAAATATAAAAATTAAATTAAATTTGTGAACAATTCGAACTAAATATAAAAATGATCGAATTCGACTCAATCGATAAATCAAACTATTTGAATTTGAGTTTGACTCGATAATAATCGAATCAAATTTAAATTTTATTCGAATTAAATTAAAATAATTTATGAATATTAATATATAATTTATATTTCTAAATAAAGCTTTTTTCTGACTCCTCCCTTCATTGCTTTCGCTTTGCTTACTTGGCCGCCATTTTCTTTGGAAACTACCCAAGAAATTTTCAAAAATTTAAAGGAAGGAATCAAGGAAAGCCCTGAGAAAAGCTTGCATTTGCATATGTAATATTAAATAAGTGCATTTCCTATTCCTCCTTTAATGGCTACTGTTTAAATACATATCCACCATTCATTCATATTTCAGTTTAGGAAATGTTATTAACTTTATAGTTCTTGATAGAAATTAGAGGTCTCCATGAGAGATATCTGGTAAGTTCAGTTGACATCTTAAAAAAATTATTTAAAATTTAATTTAATTCGTCCGTTTAAATTTATTATTAATAATTTTAAAAATATATTCTAAAATTAAAATTAAATAAAAATGTAATCATGGCCAGTTTAGCCCAAATTCAAGGCCTTGTACAAGGGCCTGGGTTTTGGTTTTCCGTTTTGAACTTCAAAGCCCAGACTTTCTAATTAGTGCTATAAAGTTTTAACAAGATAATTAGACTACTTTTACTCATCTAATTAACTAGTGCCATAATTCAAATTGCCAACAAGACTTTGGCTTAATGGCAAGAAAGAGATGTTAAAATTATGAGATTGTAAATTCTAAGTCTCATTATATAAATTTAATTTTTTAATTATATTTTAATTTGTTAATTAATTATTCAATAATTATAATTTGATTATGATTGTAACTTTAACTTTAAAAAAAGAGTACTATAATTCAAATTAAGATGTTGTCCCAAATTACTCTTACCCTATCCTTAATAGCTAAAGCACTTAAAGTTAATTCGAGTTTCAATTTAATTAATTTATCGAATCATTCTTATTAAATGTATTTAGTAAATTTAAAATTTAAATTTTAATACTTATAATTTTTTAAGATAAATTTTACATATACTTCTTATGATTTGTACCGACAATTTCACTTACACTTATGTAAAAAAAATTTTCTTATTTATGATTTTATGACTCATTTCCATTATTAAAAAGGAATAATGATGTAAATAATCAATTAAATTTTAGTAAAATTATAAAATTATTCTTAATTTATTACCTCTTTCTAATAACAGAAATGAATCATGAAATTATAAATTAAAACAAAAAAAAAACAAAAAAAGTAGGTGAAAAAGTTGTAAATCATAGGGATGTAATTTTTTTTATATCTCTAAGCTTAAATTCATTCAATGACAAAACCATGTTTTGATGCTACCATCCATTCGAACAAGCATTTTAAGTGCAAATTTAATTATTTGAGACAATCCATTAATGTCGTTTAGCCCTTGTCATGGGGATTGATAACATGCTGCAAACAAAGCCCTAAACTGTTTCAACAGAGTGGTATACATAGGAAAATTACTGACACAGACATGACAAGTTGACAAAACTTTTACGTTGCCCATGGCCACACATCATAATGTTGTAAATGCATCAACGGCAAGAACTTGTCTAGGTGTCAGGATCAGAAAGGAGATCATGCTGTTAGCAGGATGAAAAGGGGTGATGTTAATGGCGTGGCTGAAGGGGACATGAATGACAAGATAGCACGTGCGAGGGCCGAGCAGAGGGGTCATCAGGATGCAGTAGGCAGTGGGGTACATATTATAAAAGTGGGAACTGGTTGTCAACTGGAAGTGACTGAAGAAATGCACAATTCTCGTACTCGTTTTCTGGGAATTTCTTTTTTTCTTTTGTTTTTTCAAAAAGATTCGCTATGTCAAGCCTGTTTACTCATAAACTGACATACATTGCTCAATTGCTAACTGTTCTCTTCATTTTTAAAGAAAGATATACAGGAGAAGAAGAGAAAAAAAAATCAATCCCAAGTTGTTGAAAGAGAGATCTCCTTTTCTTAAGTTGCAAGTGTGATGGCAATTCTTGAGTGCCTTTTTAGTAAAGTAATGGTAATTTAAAAATAAAGAAAGGAATGATAAGTGTAATTAATTGATAATCATCAAGATGTTAAGTTGGTTTGCTGCTGGAAATTAATATTATATATAAAAGGAATGCATTTCCATCATTTCGAAGTGTAATTGAAGACTGATATTCTTTTCTTTTATTTTAGATGTATTACTTGATTATAAGAGATTTTATACCCTAATCTTATTTTAAAAAAAATTAAAACATTATCAATATATATAGATGTATATATGATTATAAAGAAGGAATCCACTTATATTAGTACAAGTCATATTTTTTTGAATTTTTATATCAAAATTAAATTAATGATTTATTTAAATCAAAGTAATATATTTTTTAAATTTAATAATTTTGATCTAAATATCAAAAAAATGTAAGAATTGCACAAATATTGTAAATGGATCCTTACTCATAACTATATATTCTCATCAAATTGTATGAAATATAAAATTTTCTCTTGCTTTCAATTCCAATTATCATTTTCCACATTTACCTTTACTAAGTACTATGAGATAAGCATCCTCAAAATAAGTATAATTAGCCATTGCTCAAGCAATTATGCAATATCTTTGCACCCAAGAATTTCAATGATTTTGCTTATAATGCTGGGTTGATTCTCTCTCTCTCTCTCTCTATATATATATATATATGTGTGTATATATATATATATATATATGCACCAGAAAATACAAAAAGATAGCAAGGCCAGTATCAATTTTGGTCCCAGCAGAATCTTAAATACACCATGTTATAATGATGGCAAGGTCTAGTAAAATAATAGTAGTCTCTTGTAGTAAACCAACTGTCAAGAACTAATATAAAATTCCATGCCATCACATAACATTTTTTTTTTTTTAAATAGATGTCATTCTTTCTTAATTTGTTCTTGTGTCTATGAAATCCTTGATTCAAATATGTACATACCTCTCTTATAATGTAATCCAAGAAAACCTAGCAATAGAGGGAAATTGGTATTCATGATTGAGATAACAGATCAAAAGAACATTACTATCATCAGCTATATTTGATGCCAATAGTCTTATCTCTAAGCTGCGTAGATAAAACCCAAACAAAAACATGTTTCAGACATGAATTTTTCCTTCACAGAATGTGTTTATGAATTCATGGAAACCAAGCACCAATAAGAAAGCAAAGAGATGAGCAATCACTGTTAGTTTCATGGAAACTGACAAAGAAAAACAATTATAGGGCTGAACCAAGCAATTTTCCAAATAGCCAATACTCAATAGTTAGTCCAGGACACTGGTTAGAACTTAAGTGTAGAGATTGATTAGTCCGTTACCTGTCATATCAGATTATATTAATAGATGTTTAACCTAATCCAAGTGGTGGTAGCTACTTATTCAATATTGGATTAGATATGATCATCTGTTACAATTAGACAGTTGTTGACTCCTCAAAATCCATATCAAATCATGTTAGCCTTCAGTGAATAACTAACAGCACTTCACTGTTTATTAGGGTTCACGTGACGATGGACTTTTGCTTAATAAATAAATAAATATCTCCCTTGTGGGGGAGACAGACATGACAGAATGGAGAAATGGGAGATGGATTTGCCCAATATCTAAATCATGCAATTAGATATATAGACTTCAAGACCATATCTCCATTAAATTTGGGGGTAAGTTTAGATGATTCATACTCTTAAAAGTTGTCATAAAAAAAGTTAAAATTCGAATCTTATAACCCACAACCCTTTTCTTATTCGAAAATTGCTACCTCTTATGTAAAATGAAAACCATCCCTATGTTTAGAGCATGATATATGTGAAGATCATTACCTTAACCTAATTCCATTATGCAGCAAACCTCCTTTCCTTTTAAAATAAGTGGGACTTTTGAGATTTTAGCTGTTGAAAACTTGGGAAACTCCCATATTTCTAAAAACCTAAGATGTAAACTACTGTTTGCTTGACTGTTGAAGTGTTTGATGCTGCTTTGACCTAGTCTTTTCCTTCACTTCTCTATATCCATCCAAGCAGTAATCTGTTTTCAAATAGAAGAAAAGCAACAGCAACAAGCAAAGGAAAAACAAGAAGGAAAAACGACGAACATAAATGATATATACTAAAAAAGGAACACTTCTTTATAACTCACCTGACACATGATTCTTTGCATACCCTTCGTGCCTGATTTGATTTGCCAACACCAATGGCTATGCTATAAATTTTTGAAAAAAATTAAACAAAATTAAAAGAAAATGTTTTACCATTGAAAAAAAGACACACAACTTGATCCGCAAATCTATTATTTGTCATAAATGGCTTATCAAAAGTACATACCAATGGTAATATTTTGGATGTTTGGTCACATAGATCTTAATTGCTAGAAATAGTAGATACAGTACTACTGCTACGGCTACTACTATTAGTAAAAACAACTACTGTTTTAATCATAGTAAAAAAACAAAGAAATACTAATAAAGATGTAGGGTAGTATCCATTAATGGAGCGAGCAATATCTGACAAAATAACAAAAGGAAAAGGATTTTAAGACAATAGGATCCGATATTGCAGATTATATATACTAATGAAGATGGGATAACTTGAATAAGAAAAGCTGAAGAAGCATCATTGGAAAAGTCATGTTCTTTTCCCATGCAGCTGGTTGATAACGTCTTTTCTTTTTTATTCTTCTTTTTTCTTACTGATTTTGGTTTCGATTGGGATGTGGAAGAGGTGGATGAGATTGAGGGGGTCGCTTTCTTTTCTTCTTCTCATAGCTTATGCCTCTGGCTTTAGCCTGTGAATCACGAACCTCACGTAGGTAAAGCCTAACAGCTCTAGCTCCAAAAGGGTTTGCTTCAGGCTTGCCTCCATGTTCCTCAAAGGCAGCTCGGAGGCGTCCGATGAGAGCATCAAGGCTTCCCCAAGCTTGGCGGAGAGGGCAGGGGCATGGAGCTGGAGGGTTAGGGTTACCAAAGAACGGGCAAAGTGGACCGTGGACTTTGGTTTTCCCAAACTGATCAAGGTAGCGGAGGAATTCCAGGACGTGGGCCCCGCTGCAACGTGAGAGGGAGAGAGGAGGGCGGTGGTTGCGCAGGTATTGCCCAAAAGTGTTCCAGTCGCGGCGCTTTTGGTTTTCATAGCGGCTGAGAGTGGAAGGGGAAGTGGAGGCAGAGGAGGAAGGGGAGGAGGAGGCCGTGACTGATGGGTTTGAGATGGTGGTGGTGGTCATGGTGGTGATGGAAAAGTTTGCAGGGAAATTCGGGGTTAAAGCAGTGGAAGGGTTTGTATTCGAGGTTTCAAAATCCTGAAGAGAATCCATATGGAAACTACTGGATATGATGATCGATCCTTTTACTTTTCTTCTAAGCGTTTTAAACAGCTTGAAGAACAGAAATGGAACGTCTAAAGGCAAAATGTAAATTAGAAATACAAAGATTTTTGAAGAAATTAGTAGAAGAAGCTGAAACTGTTTTCAGGATGATTTGTTTTCTTCTTGTTTTCACCAGGGATCCAAAGAGAGAAATAGAAAGCAAAGGGGGACTTGGAAATTTGATGAACAGTAATTGATAAACTGAAATGTGTGGGAATAGTATTTGTGAGATTGTGGGGATTGAGGTTGATGAAGAATGACAGGCAGGCAAAAAAAGTGTTTGATAACAGGTGGATTTCACCTGGGACTCAATAATGCCATGAGAAAGAGAGAAGGTTATAGGGACTTTGAAAGAATTAGATTATGATGATCATGATGATGATGAGGCTAAATCTATATATATATATATATAGGTAGAGGAAAAAAAGAATAGTATAGCTAAAGATATGCCAATAATTGTATGGGTGTTAAGTAAAATATTAGTAATTTATGTATTATAATTTTTATCTATATAAAAAATATAATTTTTTTATTTTTTAAATTTATATATAAAATTTATTAAAATTTTAAAATATATTAATTAAAAATAATTTTTCGTGTTTTATTATCATGTTTTGAATTGTGAAGACAAGCAAGAAGCTGGTCTGGTCTAGTCATTTTTTCTTTCAAGTTCCTTTGAATCTTCTGTTTGATCAATCTTAGAAAACTTGAAAGGTATTTGATGTCTAATTTTGTGGGGTTTTCCTTTTCCTAACTTTGTTTTCTGCAAAAACATTTGGAAGGGTAGTATTTTGGCAGATATTACTTTTCTTTTTCCTGATAAAAGGGTTAGCAAACTCTCAGTTCCCTCTCACAGTCTCACTGCTAAAATATTTTAACAGAGACTGGGATTGGCAATGGTAAATGGGTAAGGGTTGATTTGAAAGAGCGGTGAAATTAGTTTCGGTGATATTAAAAATAATAATAAAATTAAAATTAATTATTATAATAAACATTAGATATTGTAATTATAATATTAAAATCAATGATAAAATATATATTTGAATGTAAAAATAATGATGACGGTAAGATAAATTATAATAAAAAAATAATTATTAAAGATGATAGACTAATCATTATATTAACAAAAAAATTAAATTATTTAATATTTATAAAATTAATAAATTATTAAAAATTATTAAATTATTTTTAAATAAATTAATAGTTTTGTTAATAAAAATAAAAAACAAAAAAATGTTAAAAATTAATAAAATAATTATTATAGTAAATTAATAAAAATATTTATATTAAACTAATAAAATAATTATAATATTAAACTAATAAAAACAAAAATTGGTGATAAGGATATTGTTGTCACAACACTATAGTGAGAAGGGTAAAAGAGAAAAAAAAATTGAAACATAGGCTAAAATGGAAAAATGGACTGCGATTTGAGAAGAAGCTTTCACCGGACCCCTTAAGGTCCGATGGCTCCTCGGAGCTTCAGTGCGGTGGCCAAGCTTCAATCTCACAGCATCCTGTTATCCAAACGAGTTTTCGGCGCGATTGAGTGCTCTAATCGTGTCGCATTGAAAGGAATCGTTAATCCAAATGAAAATATATCTAGGCATTTATGGAAATAGAAAAAGGGTTTTATTATACTTTTTATTTTTAAATATATAATATTATATGAAATAATATAAATAATATATAAATAATATAATTTAAAATTTTAATAAAAAAATTTAAGTTTGATAAGAATTTATTAATGTATTTAATATTAAATATATGAATATAAATTATGATATAATAATTTTTATATTTTATATATATTAAATATAATAATATTTTTTTACGAATGGCCAAATGTAATTTTAACAATGAGGAAAAAAAAGAGAGAAAAAGATGATGGATGGAGACAGGATAAAGCTAGTGGGTTAAAAATACGAGGGAATAACCTAATTGTGTTTGTCGCCCTTTTACATTGATTGACAATTCCTGTTCCAAATGACTACATTGCCCTTCACTCACTTCAATTGAGGTATAACTCGCATCACCTGAAAGCATCAGTCCATCATGCACAATCCCTCGCAACAGAAGTTATGTACGGTCTAAATTAAATTTAATGATTTATGACAGGTAAATTATTAAATTTTATTTATTTATACTATATTTTTTTTATAAAATTAGATATTATAATTTGAATCAATATTAAAATATAAAATATATATTTTTTGATTTTATTAAATTTATATATAATTATAGTTAAGATTTTAAATTATATTATTTTTATATTTTTATATTATATTTATATTGTATTATCGTGTTATATTTTAAATTATTAAATCTAATAATTGTTCGAATTGAATAAATTTTTCTCTACTTGATTTTAATTCGATCTTTTAATATGTATATTTGATTCCAATTTGATTTAATATTAAAATATAATTTTTTATATTTGATTTTATCTAATTCATTTATTTATAAACTGTAATTGGTATGAAATTAATTTAATAATTTTAATTTAATATATTATTTATAAAATTTTAATTATATATAAATATAAATTTTTAAATTAATATATTAAATTAGTAAAAAATAATAAAAATATCTATTTTTTATATATACTCGGATCAATGCTATTTAAAACCTCACTATACTCTATTCCTATTAAAAAAAAAAAGACAAACTCGACTTGCCTTCAATCTGATCCCTAATTAAAAAAAAAAAAAAACTGACCTATTAAATCAAAATGAATTAAAATCCATCGAGTAAACATTATTTTATCATCCCTGTTCATACCAACAATAGTTTCAACCCTAAACTTTTGGCTGCCTTACAAACAGCTTGATTTAATGGACCAAACCAATTTTGGAAAAAACTATCTCCCTTGTCTTTGAAAACTACCCTCTTTGATTGGTCTTTACTTAAAGGAACCTAGCTTAGGTTGGAGATGGGGAGCTTTTGTTTGAAGAAAAAAATTTTGAAGTACATTATTACGATAAGATAATGCTTGATATTAGGGTGATCATTGTGAAAATTATATTAATCTACATATAATATTTAACTTATGGTGTTTGATAAATATTTGATAATTTTATATGTTAGTGATTTTAGATTATCAAGAGTGATCGAATTATAATCTTTGAAAGTAATCTAATTTTCATCAAAAAAAATAAAAAACTTTAATTATCGAAATAAAGTGATATGTGAAATTAATAATTATTAATATTACTCATTTAATATATAAATTAAAATTTTATTCTCTCTTAAATTTGTAACTATTTTATATTTTCAAATGAATATTTATTGTAAAGATAAAAAATAAATTTTTTGTGTATTTTTTTTAATTTTTTTAATGTTTTATGTATAATATACTCTTTTTATTTTTCTTTTATTATAATTTTTATAAATTAATTTTATTTTAATTCAAATTTTTTTTGCATAACTTATATTATAAAAATTAATTTATCTATTAATAAATATATTTATTAACTTAATAATTTAATTATATTTTTATAAAATAAATAAAATATTACTAGTATTTTACAAATTATTATCTTTAAACAACACTAAAATCATTAATTATGTAAGTATTACAATATATACAATTATTTTCATACTTTCAAAAAATAATATTTAATTTTTAATAATAACAAAGTGATATTTAATTCTTAAAAATAAATGATTGTTAAGCAAATAAAATGATTTTAAATCATGAATGATAAAATCATATTGGTAATAAAAATACCTTGGTGATTACATTATCATAATACTTTTAAAAATGATATCAACGTTACCTAAAAGATAGAAAATGATGCAATTATGTGCAGAAGAAAGGATTCAAATATTAATGTCCAATCTCGTGAGAAGGATACATGTACATGAATTGCTAAAAATTAGGTCTAGTCTTAATTTGTATTTAACTATATTTTTATGTGTATTTTTGTGGAGATTTACATAAACTTGTAGAGTATTATTTGCTTTAATTCGATTGTCTCATAATTTTATTTTATAAAAGGCATCTCATAAGTTTGAGTTTAAATTTTTATTTATATATCATAACAGATCCTTAAAATTTTTTGATGTGAGATTAGAATATCACAAATTCTTTCCGTTAAAACTTGATGTCCTCATCAAACTAAATACTAAGTATAAATAGAACCACAAAACCACACACACAAAACCATAGAACTAGAATCACACTAAATGTTAAAATTTTAGAAGTAGCACTCACCTGATAATGCTTAGCTCTTTTAAGATTTTAAAGATGGTTCTTAAGGTATAACATTTAGTTCTCATCCAATTGGTAACCGTTCTAATACCGTTTGTGGAGACCCGTATATAATTTGTGATGTATTATTTATTTTAACTTGAATATCTTATAATTTTATCTCATAAAAGGTACCTCACAAGTTTGATTTTAAAAAATTTACTTATATATTATAATAGATTTTTAAAATTTCTTAATTTGAAATTGGGATGTTACAATTTTTATGTAATATATGAAAAGGGGATTGGAGGTTTTAATTTTAAAGTTGAGCTTACTTTGTTTTTTGATTTGAGAAAAATTAAAATTTGAATCTTACTATTTAAATTAAAAATTATGTATCAATTATTAAATTAAATATTTAAGTGTTTGAATTTAAATTTTTATAAATACAAATAATCAAAAAAATCCCAAAAAAACCAAACCCAAAACCAAGATTTGAACCATTCTCAGTTACCTCCATTTTTTTCCCATCCATCTAACCAGAACTTTTTTTCTTTTGTTTTCACCTATGAATTGAATGCTGAAAATTTTATATTAAATTCGTACGGACCACCTCTTATGATAAGAAAAGACTATGTTCATTTAATTTTGGTACAAAAAACATTATTTATTATCATTGTATTTCCTTTCTGACTTTACTACTATAGACATATAATTGTACTAATATAATAATGATAAAACCAAATTTGTATGAATTATATAGAAACCAATTTCAGTATTCACTGCCCTCAAAATGTCACTATTCAAAGACCCTATTGCTTTGAATATTCTCTGAATTGGACAATCTCCAAAGAAAAATGTGGGTCAAATATCATAATCATCGATGATCCGGGAAAGCTATCCATTTGCACACCTCCAAAATGGGTTTTCAGCCAACATTCTAAACATGGTTGATTTGCTCCAAAGGGTTGCTCCAAAGGGTATGCTTTTGATTGAAATTTGAAACACAGCTAGCTATAGAAGCAATGACTAATTAACTAATGAGAAAGACTTCCACTAATATGATTAAAGGTTGAATTCTAGCCAAGAAATTTGCAATTTTCCTTTCTAAAATTGCATATTAGGGAGGAGTGACGA